TCTGCTTCTGTAAGTTTGATGGCGGGAAGTATTTGCCTATACCACTGTTGTAGATTCATGCTCTGAGTACGTTTAGATGTAATACTTACTTTTTGAGATACTATATCCAATTCTGTTCATCGGGACCAGAAATTAATCTGAGAAGGCCCAGGTCTACTAATATTAGTAGGATCCCTGCAGAGAGAGGAATCAGCTGTATTTATTCCCTGAATAACTCCTTGCTCAGTGCATGCTTTCTTCTCACCTCAGTCTTTGCTGAAGCCACTTCTGGCCTTCCCGTAGTGTTGTGGGCAAGGTGAAAGCCAGATTTGTTATGCAGCAAAACCCAAAGTAATCTCAGGGGGCTGAGTCTGCTTGGCCATGTGTTAACGGCCTGTGTGCAGAGCACGTTGCAGATGTGTGGGCAAGCAGACTGCAAAACACAATGCTGTCAATAAAGCTGCAGAACTCTAGGGCTTCAGTGTTTTTTGGACTGCCTTTACCCAGAACCAGAGGGCTTCTGTAATTTCTTTTGCTCCCACTTCGTCCTGAGGGACAGCTTTCTTTAAAGAAAATCAAGGATAAGAGAGAGGTAAGGCCTGTCTGAAGAGACCAGAGGGATCAGACTGCTGAAATTGATGCCTGAAGGTAGGGAATTCACAGTCGGGTAGCCTGCATAGTAACGAGAGGCAACAATTCTTATTTGAAAATAACAGACAGATGCAGTCAGAAGTCTGCAGCCATAGCATGTAGGTGTAAATTCTCCCTGTAGAAGGAAGAGCTACCTGCAAATGAGAAGTTAGATTCTCCACTGTTTTTTATGGTGGTATTTTGCTTTTTATAATTTTCTTCCTGATATACAAAGCAAATAATAAATTATAATCATGTAGCACTATTCTTACCCAACAGCAAACTCAGCCAGGATAGTGGCAAAGCTGCAAGCAATTTCTCATTTAGGAAAACAGAGTTTTCTGTATTACTGCTATGGGAAAATGTCGTATCTCAGCTGATGGCATACACTGTTCTAGATGTAACGATCTTTGGTTATAAACCAAAGTTCATAGTGATGAACCATTATGCAATCATGTGTCAGATTTTGACTGCACCTGTTTGCAAACTCAGGTAATTATTCTCCGTTGTCTAATTGCTTATTTTATGGATGTTTTGCTCACACGTTTTTAAGCAATGCTATTTGATTGCAGATAACTAATGGTAAGGATCTCTTCTCATTATCATACTTTAACATTAGATTTGTCTGATTGCTGCAGGTGGAAACAATAGGTGATGCATACTGCGTTGCAGCAGGGCTCCATAAGAAAAGCCTTAGTCATGCTAAAGCCATTGCCCTGATGGCACTGAAGATGATGGAGCTCTCAGAAGAGGTTCTTACTCCAGATGGGAGCCCTATTAAGGTAACCACTTTGTTCTTTCTTCTCAGCTACTCAGTGGTACATGGACCTGATTAATTCTATTGTATTCTCTCAGTAGAAGTTTGTTTATTGCTAGGAGAATTTACAATTGCATCAATATATCTTTATACGTCTTTTTAATGGATGTATATTTCACTTGTGCCCATCAACAAGCTATGCCATACTTCCCTAAGCACAGCAGAACACACAGACTAGTTGTCTCCTTGTCATATGCATTGAATGCCTATTTGTGGGTGGAGGGCATTAGATGCACTCCTGGAGCCCGTCTTTCAATTCAGTTTAGTGTGAGAAGACAGTTCACATGATCCAGGACTGCCCCATGCTACAAGACAAAGCTCAATATGCGATGGCAATTGGGAAATTCGCTTCAGAAGTAAGCTCCTGTAACTTCAGCACTAGTGTAGGGGCACTCAGAGTTCTGCAGCTCTAAGGGGCCACATGCCTCATTTTTAAATAGTTGTTGACCTGTGTAAAGAAGAATGTGTAGAGTGCCTGCTCTTTCTCAGTGTTAATGTGCTTCCTTCCCACGCAACTTCAGTTCCTTCTCCTAGATTGGTACAGGAGGTAGCAGGAGGTGGAAAAACACTTGCCCTTTTGTACCATTTTAAAGTTCCACTGCTGTTCTGCTTCTCTTGATCTTATACCAACCTTGTAGCTGCTGGCATTTGGAATTGGTAATGTTTAGGTAGAAAATGGAGATGCAGCAGTTAAGAAAAAACATTGACGTATATATGTGCCTTGCTTTTTCAAGGGTCAGATTACACATTGTTTTCATTATGTATACTCACTCCTGTTTCTGGTTAAATTGTTCTTCCCATAATACAAACCTTTTTTTTTTTTCAAAGAAAGTGGGGGGATTATGTAGAACAATTATTCAACACTGTCTAAAGCCTATAACGAAAGCCATATGTAGCTGGGTGAGAAGGCCAGGCAGACTTTCCATGGCATGATTTACAACATGGTTGAAATGCACTTTACAAACTGCAATGCCTCATGTCTATTAAAAAATAAGGGTGTCATCCAAAATACTTTTTTTTTTTTCCAAAAATGGAAAGACCTGTTTAGAAGGTTTAAAACTTGACAGAAAGGAGGTAATAATTTTTAAAATATGTTGAGGGATGTTGCCGTGATGCTCCTTGAGCAGTAAAATTGTATACTTCTGAGTGCCAACTCTTCTCTATCTATTAGTTAGGTCATATATTGAACTATATCCCTTGAACTCTTTGTGTATGGTGAATCAAGAGAGATTTAATCTAAATGAATTGTTCTGCCCAGAAGGGACAAGGCAACCAAGCTAGAAATTCCATGAAATATGGCAACACAATATTCAAATAAAAATGTATTGAGTTATGGAGAAAGTATTTTTATTTTTGGATATCGATGCTGGTGATGAATTTTTTAAAATGTCAAAATAAAATATTAATTTTGATTATTGAAAAATGTCCACATCTTCCAAAGAATAACTTTCTGAAAACGTATCTTGGACTATGTGTCTTGAATAAACTTTTTAAAAATAATTCATTGACCACAGAATAAACATTAAAAGACAAGCATTGTCTGAAGACATCAGAAGAGATAGCATTTTCAATTTTGATACAGGACTGCTTCAAACAGATACGAATTTAGTCCTGTTAAAATAGATTTTCTAGATTGTTTGATGATTTCTATTTTTCCAATGACTGTAGCCGACTAATACATTCTAGCTACACTGTCACATGCTGGGAGAGCTGTCTCCCAGATCCTCTCCATCTTTTCACTTTCTTCTGTGTTATTGCTGTAATTGTAGAAAAGGGAAATTTTGAGGGTGTATGTTTTACTCTAAGAGTCACAGTTTGTGACTGTTTCATGACCAGTGTCATTATTTTTCAGAAAATTAGAAAGCCTCTATAAGAAAGACTATAAAGACAGTGCAGAGAAAAAATGCTTGCATAGAATAAACCACTAAGAATAACCAAATATTTTTTAAAAATGCTAATAAACCTCCTTTAGAATTCAAAAGAAAAAAGTCAGTTCATCGTAGTTAAACTGAAAGTAGAGGTACTGAGGAGCTCCTCAGTGGGTGTTAATTGTCCTGTCCTCAGTTTTAGGTGTAATAGATTTCAGGGCATGAGTTATTCTATTCATTAGTGTTATCAACTAATCTCACCTCCTGAGGGACAAAAGCCATAGAATGTTGTTGTTACCTTTCTACTTAACCTGGTAAATCGTGTTTTAAAAAGCTTATCTTTCATAGAGGCACCTTGATTTGATTTTAAATATATTGTTAGGATTCCCCTCATATGGGTGTCTACCCTGTAAAACTATTCAAATAAGGACTTTTGGAGAAGTCTACTTTAATTTGTCCTAGTTTTGGTCCCTACTCTAGGATGAGATGAATCATGCCCTAAAAATGTGTATTTTCTCAGTTGTCTGTAAGGAAAGCCTATGGACCTAGCCTAAATGTAGATGTCTATACTGTAAGCTTCTACACTTCATCAGATGAATCCTCCTACAAATAGCAGAGAACGCATACGTTTTCATAGTGGTTATGTCAATGGTTGTCACAGTTAAAAACATATGTATTATTTCTAAATTGAATTGGCATGACTTTATCTTCCAGACAATGTTGAATTGGCTAGAGTGATCTCTATTTTTGTTAGCTGTCAGTTTTTTACTTAAAAAAATATGAAAGTGCCTATCGTGCCACAGATTCCCATTAACAAATGCTCCATGTGCATAATGATGTCTTAAAGCTGTATCAGGGGTAGTTCAGATTGGATATTAGAAAAAAGTGGTCAAGCACTGAAACAAGCTCCCCAGGGAAGTGCTCATGGCACCAAGCCTGCCAGTGTTCAAGTGTTAGGACAGCACCCTTAGATATATGGTTTAACTTTTAGGTTGCCCTGTGTGGAGTCAGGAGGTGGACTTGATGATCCTCATGAGTCTCTTCCAACTCAGGATTCTATGGTTCTATAATTTACCTGAAGTTTAAGGAACCCCTAGTTTTGTGTAACAGTTTCTGTGGACTCAGCTCAGAAGCCTTATAGACGACTTACTGCATGACACATTTTAAAATTGATATTTGCCATTCAAATATTTAAATATTGATTAACGTTAGATACGAAGTACACAATAGGGGCTATAAGACATTTATAAGTGGCCTGACTTCTAAACAGTGAATTAAATTGCACTATAATGTCGCTGCTTTGAGCTGGTCCTGTTGACATGGATAGCAAATCAAGTGCAGTATTTTGACTACATTTTGACCTTAATTCTTATCCATGATTCATGTTACCAAGCACAAGTCACATTTCCTGAGTCCTTGCCAAGTGTATTAAATATAGAATGCTGACGCAGCTTTTGTTTTCTTGTATTGAAAAATCTACATCAGTATTTGAATATTTGAAAAAAACTTGAAATCAGAGGGCAGTTTTCCTCATACCCAAATTTTGATATCTTTGACAGCTTTCATGAGTTGCTGTGACTAAATTCTGACTTTATTCTTCAGGATAGTCTAGTAGCTATTTTTAAAAAAGTAAGACAATTACTTCACTAAGTCCAAGACAATTTTTCAAAACATATTCCCTAAAAATAAAGGACCTTCCCATCTCAGGAGTAAACAACAGTGTTCTGTTTTCTCTTCCGCCAAAACTGGCTGATAAACCTTGATTAAATAGCAAGAAATTATTCTCAGCCACTTTATATAATGCATGACAGTACAATTATTTGAAGTTGGATTTCTGTTAGTAGGCTAACAATTACAGCACAGTTATTCTGTGCTGATTGTGTTTCTAGTAAGAGGAAACGTGCTAAAGCCTCCTTGGTGTTTGCAGGGGATTTGTTTTCTGGAGGCATATATCTTGTTTAAGCTCTCTGAGGTCATCACTGGAAACCGCAAATTCAGAAGTTATTCCCCAGGTTTGTGGGGTGTGACTGATACGATACACATTTAAGAGGCTAATTGCTTGGGAGGATGGCATTTTTTCAGACAGAGTCATTACTAATCTTTTTGGGTTGTCCTGATTGGAGAGATTTCAGCTCTAGGGAAACCTAACAGCAATTAAATATAACATTTTTTATTTGATGAATACTCAACTAGATATGTCTGGCTTTATGATTATGCTTTATGGAATATATATATATTTTCTAAATTACTTTGATGGATGTATTTTGTTGTCATCTCAGGACTGAATTCACCAGAGTAAAAATATTTACTTTTTGTAGTGCTTGAAATGTTAATCCCTGTGATAGCAGCGGATATCTTATGGAATGATACTTACAGTCTCAGAGAGAGAATTGGGAAGTTAGGAAAAAAAAGTGAATGAATGAATGAATGAATGAAAAATTACCATATCACATAAGTGGGAATTTAGGATAAGATTTTTGCCTGTAAAGTGGATGAGCAAACAATCAAATGACGTTTGTTATCTGGGTACACAGTTATCATTTGAAAGTATTCATTCCAGCAATCACAAAAATACCTTGTTTGTTACAGACATCTGCACTTTATGAACAATCTGCCCCTTAGAGCACTGCTTGTGTGTCCAGTAAACAGTGATGGACCTCAGGATGGTGACAAAGTGCACGAAGCAGGTCTAGTTTATATCCAGATGATGCTCCTGCCCCAAGTCAGAGCTCATAGCGTGCTGAGAGCACCATGGCGTGCAGCTGACACGTACTGAGGCATTTGACACTTCCAGCAGAGCCAGAGGCAGCAGAAACGCATAAGCAGAATGGAAACCCTGAGCCTGCATGCCTTATACCTGCACAAATAGTCTGCGATTTGCAGGGTAATGAAAAAATGTTGTTTTGCAGAAAGGGAGAGTGAGCTATATTATAGCAGCCTCCACAAATCCTATCATCAGTGTTGTAACAGTCTGCTCTTTTCCGAAGAAGTATTTGTGAGAGAAAATGGGCTGATGGTTCTCCTGTGGGTGATGGAGAAGGCTACACGTCCCTGTATGATTTTTTTTTAACTCAGTTCTATTTGAGGCAAAATCCCA